GTTAGCTGCTCTTCATAGGGCTTGACTTCCAGACCTCAACAGAATGTGATCCTGGAACTTGCCCTGGATTTCCCAGAAATTGATTGTATCGCTGCCTGTATTTGCCTTCTCTGGACAAATTGGCTGTAAAGTGATGGGAGATGCAGCCATTAGGCAACAGTAGTTCTATTGATTATTTATTTCCAGAAGGTGGTGCTGGAGAACTTCTGTTCAACCAAACGGTGTTTGTATTGCAGACATTATCTTATTCCTATGTTGTTCATGATAACCAGTTCGTGCAGTGGCTTAAATGTTGGCAGGGGGACTCTGGGAGAGTAGGATTTAATTTGCCATTAATCCTTGTGCAAGTTATACTGTCTCACCCTAGGAGGATGGGAATGACAAACCTCTACTTGCCAAGAAAACACTTTGATGGGTCACCTTAATTCAATTTAAAGGCAGATAAAACAGATTTCATTCAAAGCCTTCATGACAACCAGTTTGTGAAAATGGAAATAGAGTTGGAAAATATGGAAACAGGGTAGGAGGATATTTTACCTGCTCCCTATAATTATCACTGGCCAGTCATCTGGCTACAAGGAACTAATGGCACTTGAATGCTGCCCAGTTTATGGGAGAGTATTGAGAATTTTCAGCCAGAGTGTTTCAAGAGACTACAAATCCCAAGGTCCCACAGGATGCGGTTATGGCAAGAAAAATGGATTCCAAGTATGTTGTTGTTGTTCATTCATTCAGTCATTTCCGACTCTTCGTGACCTCATGCCGTCACCACCCCAGCTCCTTCAGAGTCAAGCCAGTCACTTCAAGGATGCCATACATCCATCTGGCCCTTGGTCGGCCCCTCTTTCTTTTTCCTTCCATTTTCCCCAGCATCATTGTCTTCTCTAAGCTTTCCTGTCTCCTCAGGATGTGGCCAAAGTACTTCAGCTTTGTCTCTAATATCCTTCCCTCCAATGAGCAGTCAGGCTTTATTTCCTGAAGTATGGACTGGTTGGATCTTCTTGTGGTCCAAGGCACTCTCAGAACTTTCCTCCAACACCACAGTTCAAAAGCATCTATCTTCCTTTGCTCAGCCTTCCCTATGGTCCAGCTCTCACATCCATAGGTGACTATGGGGAATTCTAAGTATCATAGGTCCTAAATACCCTAAAGCAGGGCCAGATACAGCCCTCCAAGTTAATTTATCTGCCCCCTTCTCTAAAAATTAGATTTAATGTTGCCCTAAGTCTGAAGCGACTTGAAGGCACACAAGTAACTTGACTATCTCATCCACAAAAGCAGGTCCAACTTCCCTTTGAAATACTTGTAAGTTTATGTTGGTTAAAATTGTTCACAGTCTTAGGGTTAAAATTGTTAAAATTGGTTGGTTAAAATTGTTCACAGTTCGGCCCTGTTTTAAAAAAAAAGTTTGAGGACCTCTGTCCTAAAGGCACCAAATTGGATCTGACTTTAGAGATTAAGCAGGACCAGCTCTGATTAGTACTTAGATGGGACACTGCCAACAACGAGGTGCTGTAACCTGTATTTCAGAGAAAGTAACTGGCAAATAATCTTTGAATATTCCTTAACTAAGAAAACCCAATGAAATTCATGAGGTTGGCATAAGTTGACAGGCAACTTAAATAAAAATACACATACACACACACACTACTAGTGCAATAATTGTGTAGTGTGAAAGGGACATATTTGGTGGGAGATACTCAACTGAGAATAAGTGATATAACAACCATCTAGAAATATTTAAAAGCATATCCCATAGGAAACAGAGCAAGGTTAATCAGAGCTGTTCCAAAAGGCAAGACCCAAATGCATGGATTCAATTTACAGGAAAGGAGGTGGTGACAGGATATTAGGAATAATTTCCTGATGGTGAGGTCTGTTTGATAGTGAAACAGTGTGTGATGAGGTCTCCTTTTCGCATACTGCTTAAACTAAGGTTGGATAACCACCTTTAGATTTCCTGTATTGTTGTAGGATTGGCAACAATTGGCATTCTTTGATTTTTATAGCTATCATCTATAGATGGTTATTTTTTTAAGTTCCAGAAACAAAGTGTTGGTTTTGCCATTTAAAAGTCGCTCTTTGGATACTTGTGCATCCACACATTTTGGTACCCAAAGGTGTCCTGGAACCAAACCCTTGCAGAAGCCATGGGTGCCCTATATAGTCTCAGTTTAGTCATTTGACCTTCTACGTTTGGGTTTGCTTTAGGATCCATTCAGCTGGTCTTACAGTGTATGTAGTATCCTAACAACCACTGGTGAGAAGAAAACCTCTGAGTCCTGTGATGTCTTGAATTCCATCAAATGTATTGGAACAAAAGCTGTTTTATCAGATTATGTAATTTAAAAAGAAAAAGGAAAGCAATTCCTAATACATCCCCATCTGATTTGCATCCAGTGTTTTGCAGTCATAACTCCCAAAACTGAATTAGAAAATTCTGCCCACTAGTGGTTTCAACCATCTCCACAAGTCAGATTGGCTAAACAAAATAAAATAAAATATGCCATTTGATGCCACTCTTGAGAGACCTGAGGGCAACCTGTCCATTACCTTCACCTTGCCCCTTCAGGGGTGCTTATGCACTGCAGAATTGATTCAATTTGATACCACTTTAACTGCCATGTCTCAATGCTATGGAATCAAGGAATTTATCATTAAGCCTTCTCTGCCAGAAATAATTTACTTTTGGATACTGCTGCTCCTACGGTTTTGCATATCAAAAGGAGGTTTACACATCAAAAACTCAGGCAAATAAAAGAAACAATAAAACAACAGAATAAAACAAAAACAATTCTCACAGGGTTAAAAACAGTAACTATGCGGATCTTTGTTGCCACTGTGACGTCTCTACTCTTCACTATTTTATCAAGCTTGGTCATTGCTCTCCTCCCAAAAAGTAAATGTCTCCTGATTTCCTGGCTGCAGTCTGCGTCTTCAGTAATCTTCATGCCTAGAAATGCAAAGTCTGTCACTGCCTCCATGTTTTCTCCCTCTATTTGCCTGTTATCAAGCAGTCTGGTGGCCATCATCTTGGTTTTTTTAAATATATATATATTTAATTGCAAGCCAGCTTTTGCCCTTTCTTCTTTCACCTTGGTTAGAAGGCTCCTCAGCTCCTCTTCGCTTTTGGCCATCAAAGTGGTATCATCTGCATATATAAGGTTGTTGATGTTTCATCCAACAGTTTTAACTCCAGCCTGGGATTGGTGCTGTGTAGTTTTTAGGGTCAATCCAAGAAATTTTGCTGGCAGAGGCAAAGGACAGAATAATGGGCTTTTATCCCATACCAGCTGACTGGACTGGCTGCTGAATTTGAGGGTGCATCTAAATTGTAAAAATGTATGCAGTTTGACACCACTTTCACTGCCATGGCTCAGTGCTATGCAATCAGGGGACCTGTATTTTTATGGGGGGTTTGGCTTTCTCTGCCGAATAGTGCTGGAACCTCAACTAAATACGACCCCCATGATTCCATAGTATTGAGCCATTGCAGTTAAAGTGGTGCCAAACTGGATTACCCTATATACTTGAGTATAAGCTGAGTTTTTAGCCCCTTTTTTTAGGCTTGAAAAGTTCCCCTTGGCTTATAATCAAGCCAAAGTTATTTATTATTTTACTCTGTTATTATTTTTATTACATTTATTATTTTACTCTATTTATTATTTTTATTATTATTACATTTACATTATGTTAAAGGTAAAGGTTTTCCCCTGACATTAAGTCCAGTCGTGTCCGACCCTGGGGTGTGGTGCTCATCTCCATTTCTAAGCCGAAAGGCCGGCGTTGTCTGTAGACACCTCCTAGGTCATGTGGCCAGCATGACTGCATGGAGCGCCATTACATTATGTTACTCTATTATTATTACATTTATTATTTTATTCTATTTATTATTGTTCTTATTACATTTGTTATTTTACTCTATTATTATTTTTATTACTTTTATTAGTTTACTCTATTTATTATTTTTATTATTATTGCATTTGCATTATTTTACTCTGCTATTATTTTATTACATTTATTATTTTATTCTATTTACTATTATTATTATCACATTTATCATTTTACTCTATTATTACTGTTCTTATTACATTTCCATTATTTTACTCTATTTATTATTGTTGTTACTATATTTGTTATTTTACTCTACTATTATTTGTATTACTTTTATTATTTTACACTATTTATTATTTTTATTATTGTATTGTCGAAGGCTTTCATGGCTGGAATCCATGGGTTGTTGTAGGTTTTTCCGGGCTATATGGCCACGTTCTGGAGGCAATTTTTCTCCTGACGTTTCGCCTGCATCTATGGCAAGCATCCTCAGAGGTGGTTGCTGCACTGCCACTGACCGGCCAATTTAGATAATATTTTTATTATTGTTACATGTATATTATTTCACGCTATTGTTATTACATTTATATTATTTTACTCTATTATTATTTTTATTACTTTTATTATTTTACTCTACTTATTATCATTACTTTTATTATTTTACTCCATTTGTAATTGTAATTATATTTATTATTTTACTCTATTGTTGTTGTCATTATTACATTTCCATTATTTTACTCTATTATTTTTTTTATTACTTTTCTTATTTTACCCTCTTCATTATTATTGGAAGGATAAGTAAGCAATTTTATATAGAAGGTTAGAATAATGCTTTAATCAGAGTTGGACAGTTATCTTAAATTACAGTTTTATGTATCTATTTAAAAGCATTTAACCTACTGATGCCTCAGTTAATGTAATTTTATTGGTATCTATTTTTATTTTGAAATTTACCTGTACCTCATGCATTTCCCACCCTCAGCTTCTGCTGGAGTCAATACGTTTCCCCAGTTTTTGTAAAATTGGATGCCTCGGGTCGGCTTATACTTGAGTATATAGATAGGTAATTCTACAAGAGGCACCCCAGGTGGGTTTGTCTTTTTGTGCTGCTCGGCTCTAGGACCCGGGAGCCGCTCCTGCCAGGCGGAATGTCCCTCTCTGCTGGGTCCTAGCGCCTTCCGGATTCCCAGCTGAGACCGGCCAAGCTCTTTTGTTCTGCAGCGGCCGGGCGGCGAAAGAGGTTTCCCATCGGACGGCTCCTCTCCTCTCCTCTCCTCTCCCCACCCAACCCACCGCCGGCCCCATTGAAAACCCCTCGGCTGCCGCAGATCACAATGCAAAACAGGTAATAGCTGCTGCCCCTTTCTGCTGGATTGGGTGGGTACCCGCCTCTCTCCACTGGCAGTGAGTGCAGCCTGGAGCAGGAATGGATGGGGAGGGGGAGCTTTCCGCTTTGGACCTTCGCTTGGCTAGCTGAGACCGGTGAGAGGAAGAAGGCAGATGCAATGGTATGGCTCATCTGGATGCCCAGCCTCCAGTGCTGCAAGCTGCCTCCAAAGCAGAATTGATACAGCTCAGAATCTAGACTGGATAGAAGACCTTTGCTTCTTACAAACCAAACCTATTTGTCTCGCCTGGGGTGCATCTACACTATGGGATGAATGCAGTTTGACACCACTTCAAATGCCATGACTCAGTGGCATGGAACCATGAGAGCACCTGCACTCTTTGGCAGAGGAGACCTTGTGAAACTACAACGCACAGGATTCCATAGCTCTTATCCATTGCAATTCAAGTGGTGTCGAACTGCACTAATTGTACACTGTATTATTATTATTATTATTATTATTATTATTATTATTATTATATGCACACCAGTGGCTAGAGATGAGAGGAGGGCACTCTGCACATGCCCAGCATTGCCCTCTTCCTTCTGCCCCAAACCAAGCCCTTGAAAACCCTTGAGATCATTCTGGAATGTGTCACTTTAGTCTTGGAGCCTCCAGTGGTGCCATGGATTAAACCACTGAGCTGCTGAATTTGCTGACCAAAAGGCTGACGGTTCGAATCAGGGAGCAGGGTAAATTCCTGCTGTTAGCCCTAGCTTCTACCAACCTAGCAGTTTGAAAATATGCAAATGTGAGTAGGCCAATAGGTACCGCTTCGATGGGAAGGTAACAGCGCTCCATGCAGTCATGCCAGCCACATGACCTTGGAGGTGTATATGGACAATGCCGGCTTTTTATTTATATATTTATTTACTGCAAATGTGAGTAGGTCAATAGGTACCGCTTTGATGGGAAGGTAACAGCGCTCCATGCAGTCATGCCAGCCACATGACCTTGGAGGTGTCTACAGACAATGCCGGCTCTTTATTTATTTATTTACTGCATTTGTATACTGCCTTTCTCAGCCGACTCAAGGTGGCTCACAGTTGGCAGTGATTCGATGCCATAACAAATATCAAAATATAGTTAAAACAATTATAAAAACAATTCAATATTTAAAATGTAATATAAAAAGCAAATATATCTGTAAAAACAAGATCCTCGGCGTCTCCTTACTAAAATCGCTGTCCAGTTGCATTGTCAGTGATTCCATATATTAATTTATATCTAAATACGTATCTCCCCTTACGTATCTCCCCCTTATGAATCTCTGAGGACTTTAAGATCATCTGGTGAGGCCCTGCTCTCGGTCCCGCCTTCGTCACAAGCACACTTGGCGGGGATGAGAGACAGGGCCTTCTCAGTGGTGGCCCCTCGGCTATGGAACGCCCTTCCTAGGGAGATCAGATCTGCTTCCTCCCTCTTGATGTTTTGGAGGCAAGTTAAAACGTGGCTATTCGAGCAAGCATTTACAAATACAGAGTAGCTAATATAGGAAATTGAATGATCTGACAATGGAATTGGAGAATGCTTGAGAATAATGAGACGCTGATGATGTTGTTTTTATTGCTTTTGTAATGTCTTATACTGTTTAATGTTTTTTATCTATATTATGTTTTATGTATACTGATTTGTTGGAAACCGCCATGAGTCGCCAATTGGCTGAGAAAGGCGGTATACAAATACAGTAAATAATAAATAAATAAATATGCTCCAGTAGAAAAAGCTTGGCTTAGAAATAGGGATGAACACTACCCCCAGAATCAGACACAACTAGACTTAATGTCAAGGGGAACCCTTTACCTTTACCTTATTCTTGGAAATGTATTGGCTCAGCACTGTTCGGATCAAGCCCTGAAGCTGGTGGTTCTGCCAGAACTGTCCCAATTAATTTTAGCTGGACCCCAAGCCCTGCATGGAGGACCCCTATTTCTCTCTTTTTTTTTTCACTCTTAAAAACACATAGGACTATTACATCATGAAATGGAAAAATTAATGGGATGGTGTCAAAGCTGAGGTTTTGAGGTATTTTTCCCTAATTCCAACTGCTTGCAATATTTTAATGTGTGCTCTTTTCATTCATGTCTACAGTCACCAAACATTTCCAGTAGTGGCTGCTGTTGTACTCAATAGTTTTTGTTTGTTTATAAAAGTGCAAAAGAGCCAGATTTGTCAACTTGATGCATAATGTGATTGCTTTCCATCGACTCGTTTTAGAGCTAAGGGCAGGCATGGGCAAACTTCGGCCCTCCAGGTGTTTTGGACTTCAACTCCCACAATTCCTAACAGCCAGAATTGTGAGAGTTGAAGTTCAAACCACCTGGAGGGCTGAAGTTTTCCCATGCCTGGCTAAGGGTAATATTGTTGTCATCATTAAGTATTTCTCACTGTGACATTTCCAAAGAGACTTTTGAAAATGTTCAAAATTCAAATGTGAATCCACTAGAATATGTCCAAATTGTAAATGTATATGTATAATATAATTGAATCTGTGATTGGTTCTGTTCAGCATTTCAGCGTATTATGGTAGAACTGGAATCACAGAGTTTGGAGAAAATACTTGCAGCATATAGGAAACCATTCTTTATCCAGGGAAGCTGCTAAAAACACATTAATATTGAGCTTGGGATTTTATTTATTTATTTACAGTATTTATATACCGCTTTTCTCACCCCTGGGGGGACTCAAAGCAGTTTACACAGAAATAATGGCAAAATTTAATGCCTTACATACATAAACTAAATCACAAATCAACACCATATAATTTAGCATAAAATCAATAGGACAATTCACTATAAGATAAGAAAAAGGACATTTAAAATATGAAATACAATAATTAAAATCACATGATCCAAGCCATTCTAATGTCGATTGCACATATTCCCTATTTGCTTCCTTTACTGCATTACTTTACTAATTAAAAGCTTGGTTCAATACCTTTGTTCTCTTTCTAAAGGCCAGGATCTGATCTAATCTAGCTGGGGAAAGAGTTCCAGAGCTGAGGGGCCACCACTGAGAATGCCCTGTCTCTCATCCCCGCCAACCGCACTTGCAAAGCAGGTGGCACTGAGAGCAGGGCCTTCCCAGAAGATCTTAACCTCCTTCAAGGACTACTTGGAAATGGGTTCCATAGGAGAACCCATTCACATTTAAGCCCTACTGTCTGCACCTTGGCTGTAGTATCTAGAAATATCTGCTATGTTGGTCTCAATTTTTAAGCCAGTGGTTGGGAACCTTCAGATGTTTAAAAATACTGTTCCTATAATCCTTTGCTATTTGCTTAGACTTCTGGGAATTGCAGTCCAAACTCAGGAGGGTCCAATGTTATCAATTGGGAATTACCTCTGGCCATCCTTTTCCTGGATAATGGCAAGAGGTAATTCCCAACTGATAAGCAAATTAGTTTTTGCAAGTGGTATCCTATGTACCTTGGAATTGATGGCATTCTCCAAAGAACCTTGGGAAATAGAGCTTTTGAGAGTACATATTGAAATGTCCTAGTTATTTTCCTTAACATTTATTAATGACAAAGCTCGAATTCCAAAGGTGTGATAAATAATTAATTGTAGAATTGTTTTCAATGTAAAGAATGCAAGTTAGTAATTAATCTCATTGCTTTATTATTATTATTATTATTATTATTATTATTATTATTATTATTATTTTCTTCCATCCTATTTGGGTCAGTGTTGTGCCCCTCACTCTCAATGTATGATTCAGCTTGTAGTTCTTCTCATTTAATCTGGAATAAAAATCAACTCTGCTTTCTTACTGACAGTTGCTAATGCTGTTCATAATCCTCACTTCATTGAAAAACACATTGAAAGGCAGAGGGAGAATATTGAAAATACCTGATTTTGAATGTAGTGCAGTACTTCATCTCTGTCATAAGTACCGTATATATTTGAGTATAAAATGACCCGAATATAAGCCGAGGCACCTAATTTTACCACAAAAAACTGGGAAAACGTATTGACTCGAGTATAAGCCGAAGGTGAGAAATGCAGCAGCTACTGGTAAATTCCAAAATAAAAATAGATTCCAATACTATGACATTAATTGAGGCATCAGTAGGTTAAATGTTTTTGAATATTTACATAAAACTGTAATTTAAGATAAGACTGTCTAMCTCTGATTAAACCATGATATTAATCTTTTTCAGTGTAAATGTGCTTGCGTATCCTTCCAATAATAATAAAGAGAGTRAAATAATAAATGTAGTAATAATAATAGAGTAAAATGATAAATTTAATAATAATAATAATAATAATAAACAGAGTAAAATAATAAATGTAATAATAATAATAATAATAATAATAATAATAATAATAATGTTAAATAATAAATAATCTTGACTCAAGTATAAGCCGAATGGGACGTTTTCAGCCTTAAAAAAGGGCTAAAAAACTAGGATTATTTATTTATCGTGTCATCAGCAACATCAGAATTGTATTACAATTCTAACAGAGCAAAACAAACACAGAGATTAAAAAGAAAAAGAAAAAAAAGAAGGAAAGAAAAAAACCACACAGATTTTGCAAATTTGGTATTTGGTTAAATGTCCTTTGACCAGTATCTGGCCACTTGGGGTGCCTCTGGGGTTGCCGCAAGAAGGAAACTAGGCTTATACTTGAGTATATACAGTAAATGCAAACTATCTTGTGGATGTAGTCCATGCCATGTATTTGTTACAGTGCTCCCATGTACAACTATTACGTACATTGTTCTGCTCCTAAATGTATTGCAAAAAAAAGACATGTGTGCCTACATCCACATCAGAAGAAGATAACATCAAAACATATAAGCTCGAACCACTAAGATTAATCACAATTGCAGAAATAACTGAGCAGAGTTCCATTTATGCATGAGTCCCTAGGCACACCCACAAGTCAGTGTATATTTTCAAACTAATTGTACACACAGAGAGATTCAAACATCTCAGTGACTCTCTGTATAAACACACACATGCACCTGTTTTAGGTCTGAACTTACTTTAAAGCAAGGATTAACAAACACAAAATGCTGTGGAATTGAACTTCATGATTTCACTATTTATAACCCAGTCCTGTACATGTTTATATGCAAGTCAGACCTTTTGTATTCAGTAGTGTCTATTTCCAAGTAAATCTTGCTTCTCCAGTCTCTAAGGTGCCTTTCTGCGTTTTTGCTACTATAATTCAAAGCAGCAAGTTTTCCAGAAGGAATGCTTGTCATGTACGCTTATGGCTTCAAAGCCAGTGATCATAGTGGTTATAAGTTTAAGGTGACAAGTTGAATTTCTGGGATGGGAAATACTTTCTAGTAGACTGCGCTGAGCTTTTCACTGTTCTCCATCTCTGCAGCGATGTCTCTGTAGCTGAACGTGCTCTTGTTCCTGGTGCCGAATGGAGCCATCTCACAGGTGGCATGTCGACAGAGGTGATGGGCATCCAGCAGAGCTGCAGGCAAAGGCCCGAGTGCTGGTGCCCGGCGGGAGTGATTGGTCAAGACCGGACAACCACGGCAGCGTCGGGTTTGAGGACCAGGTGATAGAAACCTGCCCCACACTTCCTTGGTCACACTATATGCAGAACCCACTGACCAATGACATCCCCACGAACCATATTGCTATAGAGGACAGACCTCCCCACCCAGAGATCTACAGCATTGCTCTATGGGGGCCAAAGCTGCATTCAGCACTGACCAGAAACAAAGGGGGAAGATCCAATGCACAGGCTTCCGCTCCTAACTCCAAGCAACTGGGTCAGCAGGGAGGAGGAGATGCCAATGACGAGGGGTCCCTGGTGTTGATTGATGCTGAAGGAGTGCCCCACACAGTCTCCCGACAGGAGGCAGAGCTGGCTGGGCAGATGCAGTCCTCAGAGCCGGAGCTGCTGGCATCAGCCCCACCACCACGGCAGCTGTACTTTTGCCCCATTTGCCTACGGACGTTCCTATACCAGTCGGACTTGGAGCGCCACAGCATCACCCACTCAGAGAGCAAACCATATGTGTGTCGCGAGTGTGGCAAGGCCTTCAAGCGCTCCTCGCATCTTCAGCGACACAAGCACATCCATACTGGTGAACGACCCTTTAGCTGCCCGGTCTGCCGCAAAGGTTTCCGAGAATCAGGTGAGCTCTTGCGCCACCAACGAGTCCATACAGGAGAGAAGCCCTACCAGTGCCAGATTTGCCGGCTGCGCTTCACAGAACGCAACACCCTCCGCCGGCACGCCAAGCGGAAGCACGCCCGGGAGACCTACTACCAACGCTCAGTTGAGGAAGGAGGCGGCAGCTGGACTACCGCAGGAGACTGGGAATCAGAAATGGTGTCTGGAAGTGGTGACTGGGGGACAGAGGACCTTGGCAATAGCTGGAACAATGAAGCATCAGAGGATTGCGTTGGGGAGGGGAACCAGTGGGGGGAAGCTGTAGAAGGTGGGAGAGGAAACAGTCCCATAATCATTTCACACCTTCCTGAGACTGAACATATCAAGGACAAAGACAAACCTGGGATACAACCCCCATAAATGCACAAAACCTTGGGGCACCAGGAATGAAGGCAAACGGGAAGCTGCAATTTTGCCTTGCAGTTTATCTAAAAGGACTTAGAACTTTGCAATGGCACTGAGACTTTCCCCCCTCAAGATGGACATGAAAATAAGGATGAGACTCTAACTTCCAGGACTGTTCTAGAATATTGCAGGACTTGGAATATCAATGCAATAGCATTGCCAAAGACTGGAGATTTCTGTTTGTGGACAGAGCATCATGGCTGTCCACTGCTGTGAATGAATATATCATGATATCCAGAGCTCTTGTTGGATTGGAGGAAGAGCCTCCTGTATTAACCTCTCTACAGGGTGGAAGAAATGGAACAGGGAATTTTGTTCTGTTAAGTATCTTGTGATTTTCCAGACAAATGAGTGGTGAGATAATTATGCTCCTCTCATAATTGTACCAAACAAAATGTTGATATTCGGTAATCTTTTGCAAGATAAATTGTCCATTTCCAAGTTGTTGTTTTTTAAGTTTGCCATTTAAGATCAGCCTTTGTGGAATGGGGCATTTTCAGTTCTCATACATTTCAATGAAATAACATATGCAAAAGAACAATAGCCTTGGTGTGTTGTGTTTTTCCTACCACATCCATCCAGGAAATGTTATCAATAGCTAGGAGATACTTTCTCGCTCCTTGCAGACTTTAGTAGTAGTGCAACAGATTTAGAGCAAGAGGGAGAGTGAACGTATGGCTAAATGTGAGATGGTTGTTATGCACCTTCAAGTCAGATCACATTTATGGCAACCAAAATGTAGGGTTTTTCTTGCAAGATCTATTTACAGGATGTTTGCCATTGCCTTCCTCTAAGGCTGAGAGCATCAGACTTGCATAAGGTTAGCCAGTCGGTTTGCTTGACTGAATGGGGCTGCAAATCCTAGTCTCCAAAAGTGCTAGACCAACACTGTACCCACACTGGCTCTATGTATGGGATTATGTACCATCTTTGTGATTTTCATCTGTGAAAAATTGAAGGGAATGCAAGGTGAAGGAGAACATAAATCTGGCTTTCCCTTCTTAACTGTGCATATACCAGCAGCAAGAGGAGGCACCACAGTTCTAAGTACACAGATTGAAAAGTAACTCCCATACTGATCAGCTAGAATTACTTCTAAATAAATGTGCTAAAGTACTAGGCCACTGCGTGATCCTGAATGCCATATGTATTGCAAGACAAGATTGTGACAAAAGGATGAACAGGGTAGATCTGCCAACATTGTAGCTGCATCACAAACATTAACTGTCCAAGCTTCCCTTAAGGATATCTGGGCATACTAGACTTTTTTTTAGAATAGTACCTCTTATCTTTTAACAGAATGTTGTTTACCAAGGTTCTTTGCAGAGGATTAGTTGCGTGTTGGTTAATTTGGCTTACTTTTGTAGTAAAGATGTACTGTGGTAGCCAACATTTCTCAAAATCTCAACTCTGCTGAACAAACAATTGTGCGTTTCTCCTCTTTATTTCACACCAACAGAGAAATAGGTTTCTAATTGACACCTTTTTTCTTTTCATTGGTCTTTGGCATTCTCTAAGATCAAGAGCACAAGGCTGCGGGGAAAGTACTCTGTTTTCAATAGCCATTACTGGTGTATAAGAATTGTCATTCTCATTCCTGGAGCAATTTATTTGGAGGGAAATGGAGAAGGAACAAGCCTTGCCAATGCCTACTTACAGAGGCCAATCTGTAGATTGTCTCTTTGAACATAACGAAAGCATCCTTCACAGTAAAAGGGTGCATAAGAGGTCCAGATAGAAGGAAACAAGGAAGCTGGGCTTCGCTGAGATGAGTGGCAAAGGAATGTGTTATTGGATTCTGCATCGCCTGTTAGAAATATGCTTTAGATTTTTGATACAAGAAATTGCTAGAAGAGGATATGGGCAATTTCTGCAAAATTGAGGAGAAACCCTAAAATATAATGTGAGTCAGATTTGCAAAAATCAGTTTGTACATATTTGATAAATAATGAGTATGATCAGCATCTAATCAGTTGAATGGCATCTTCTCCTTTCCCTTTCTTCTCTTGGGTTTGATATGTGCTCAGTTCTGCCCTGATGCACAGTTTCCCAGCAAACATTCAGTGACCTACATTCAAGGTCAAATCCTTGTACTCTTGGTTAGTGTTCCTTTGCTTCTTCACAACCGGAGCTGCCTAATTTCAGGCATGAATGCCATGTGAAAAAGGCCAGTTTCTTGCAGTTCTTTTCTGAAGCATGGCTTTTAACAGGATTAAGAAGCAAGGTGGTAGCAGTTCGAAAGCAAACCTTGCAGTTCAGTATTGCAATTCATTTCATTGGGGCTGGGTGTACCACAATGGCATGGCAGAAAATTCCAGTTGGTGGCTTGAAGAGGTTTAGAGCAAATGGGGTGTCAATCTGGCGTATAAAGTGAGACATTGATAGTTGGTTTGGACCTGGAGCAGCAGCCATGTGGCTTTAGATAAAAGTCCCAACTGATGGTGGAGAAATATATGCAAAGAAAGAGAGTTGATTGAGATTGCTCTCTATGCATCATCATGGCAGCAGATCATAGAATCAGAAGAATATAGGTAGAAACCAATAATCACCTTCCCAAACTGCAGAATAGGTGTGGTCATCTGGGGAAAGGAGCTACGTGACCATTCTTGTAACCACCTTCCTTGTAGCCAGTTTCAGTCCTCTTTAAAAATGCTGCTGAAGCCTATCCAAAAATTTATCCACATCTTGCATCAAAAGCCTAAGATGCCAAACCCAAAAAGCTTTGGCAGAGATGAGCCTTTTGTTGAAGTGAAGTGTGTGTATGCTTGAATTAGTGTACTAAGGACCCTGGCAAATAGGGGTATAATATACACAAAGTATTATGAATTCTTCTTAATACATGTAATTGTAGTACCAGAGACTTGTTTCCTGTTGAAATATTAAGAAGAATTAATTACCTGAAGAAGGTGTTTTCATCACCAACACCGAATCAAGGAACTACACCCGGGATACCTTGTTGTAACCTGGTCACCGTGTAGAACTCTTCTCTGACACAACCTTGGATGCCACAAATAGTCCTTCAAAAACATCTAAAAGTGACTCTTTAAATCATCAGACAGATTGGACTATTATGTTTACGTTTATCTAAATGAATATGTCATTGAAATCCACAAGCATGTGGACAATTTCAACAGAAAGGAGGAGACCATGAAAATGAACAAAATCTGGCTACCAGTATTAAAAAAAACTCTAAAATTACAACAGCAAAACATCAGAGAGGAAACAACCAGGCACATCTTAACACCTCTCAACAAAAGATTCCCCCAGGCTCAACCAGGCCTTCAAATGCTAATGAAGGTGGTCAGTTGAAACATTCACACCTGGCTCCAGCAGAGAAGAGCTCTTTGCCCCACCCGTCATTCCACAGATATATAAACCCATTTTCCTAATTCCAACAGACCTCACTACCTCTGAGGATGCTTGCCATAGATGCAGGCGAAACGTCAGGAGAAAATGCCTCTAGAACATGGCCATATAGCCCGAAAAAACCCACAAGAACCTAGTGATTCCAGCCATGAAAGCCTTCGACAATACATTAAATGAATATGGATATTTATCAATGACTAAGAGAAGTTGTTCCTCTTTATTGTGTTTATAAGTAATAAATCTGTCATATGACATCATATTTGAAGTTTCAACAACAATAACATAATACTTTATGTATCTTAGTAATAGATATCTGTGCTCTCTATATAAATAGGGATGTAGGACATCTAAATGCACATACAATGCCTTCTCCCCTCACTCTGTTAATCATAAGGACTTAGATCCTGCCTTTTTTTGAGTCTCAAAAGGAAGGCCAAGGTTTGGAGTTTGACTTATGGCAGCTGTTCCTACCAACTGCTATTATGAAGGCCATTTCTCATCTCTGCGGTGGCACAGTGGGTTAAGCCCTGTGCTGGCAGGACTGAAGACCGACAGGTCGCAGGTTCGAATCCAGGGAGAGCGCGGATGAGCTCCTTCTATCAGCTCCAGCTCCTCATGCGAAGACATGAGACAAGCCTCCCACAAGGATGATAAAACATCAAAAAATCATCCGGGCGTTCCCTGGGCAACGTCCTTGCAGACGGCCAATTCTCTCACACCAGAAGCAACTTGCAGTTTCTCAAGTCGCACCTGACAGTGTAAGAGACGGAGTGTGCAAATCACTCCTATTAAAAATATGACATCCTGATATTTATTTATTTATTTGTCGTGTCAGAGCAACCAGTCCATTATATTACATTTCTAACAGAACAAAGCAAACAAACAGACAAATACAAAACTTGTGAGTTTGGTAGTTGGTTAAATGTCCTTTGACCAGTATCTGGCCACTTGGAGTGCTTCCGGTGTTGCTGCAAGAAGGTCCTCCATTGTGCATGTGGCAGGGCTCAGGTTGCATTGCAGCAGGTGGTCAGTGGTTTGCTCTTCTCCACACTCGCATGTTGAGGATTCTACTTTGTAGCCCCATTTCTGAAGGTTGGCTCTGCATCTCGTGGTGCCAGAGCGCAGTCTGTTCAATGCCTTCCAAGTCGCCCAGTCTTCTGTGTGCCCAGGGGGGAGTCTCTCATTTGGTATCAGCCATTGGTTGAGGTTCTGGGTTTGAGCCTGCCACTTTTGGACTCTCGCTTGCTGAGGTGTTCCAGCGAGTGTCTCTGTAGATCTTAGAAAACTATGTCTAGATTTAAGTCGTTGGCGTGCTGGCTGATACCCAAACGGGATGAGCTGGAGATGTCTCTGCCTTGGTCCTTTCACTATTGGCTGCTACTTCCCGGCGGATGCCAGGTGGTGCAATACCGGCTAAGCAGTGTAATTTCTCCAGTGGTGTAGGGCGCAGACACCCCGTGATAATGCGGCATGTCTCATTAAGAGCCACATCCATCTACATCCTGATATAGTCTTATATCACCAGGGCTGGAAGATAGGTTAGACCGCTTCCTTTCTAGTGATTTATATGTCTTTTCTCCCACTGCTTTTCTTCCCCTTGGTGATAGAACGGAATATAGTCAATTTCCCCAAATCTGAAGCCTGGCTATCATGGTAAAATATGGTGCTCTGCTTCACCAAAGCCATGTTGTCTGCCCTGGCAGGTCCCCACCCCTCAATACTGGCTCTTTTCCTCCCTCCTTCCCTCAGCAAACATCCTCTGAGTGGGAGGGATGGAGCCAGGCTTTTGCCTTGAACTACCTCCAGGGCTCTCATGTCTGCCCAGGCCTCCAAGTTATCTTTGTTGCCATGGAGACCACCTTGAGCGCACAGTTGGGTTGTTACAAGCCGAATCTTTGTTAAGAAGGGCCTCAAGGCCTTGGCTGCGGCGGCTGCGAAGGCTGCGGCAGGATTAAATGAAAGCCTGCACTATCACATCTCTATCTTTCCTTTCATTCTTTCTTTTTTCTAAGCCACAGGGATGTGAACAGTTAAAAAAATTAAATAATGGAAACCAACCGTGGGCACCATGTTTTGAGATGGCTAAATCAGTAGTGGAATCAGGTTCCCTTCTCCAGAATTGCAAAATTCAAAATACTCTTGAAATGTATTGTCGGAGGCTTTCATGGCTGGAATCA